GAAAGCATCGAGCCAGTAAATCCTTTGAGGGTGAGGATCCCTGGCCCATCCACCAAGAAAAGGTTTTAAGATGCATGTGGGGATGCAGTGGCACATCATACCTGCATCATCCCTACTGCCAGCAGAGCAGCATGTGCTCTGCATGTATGTCCCTTCCTGCCCCTTGACCAGGAGGAGCAGCTGCTGGTGTCCCTGCTCTCTCAGGGGTGTTAGAGGGTTGGCCTGGCACCTCCTCATTTGGGGATGGCCCAGGAGCTGGTTGGATTCTTCTCTAACTGGGTCTTGTAGAGGATGTTCTAAAGTGAATTTGTTTTTATTACATCAAATCCCACTTGTAAATGGTCCTTTCCCCCGCTTTTCCCTTTCCTTCGGTTGTCTGAGGAGGAAGTGTCCCACGTGGTAATACAGCAGTAAAACCCAAGTTTTCTTATCCCCAGCCTATCAGGCTGTGATCCCTGTCCCTGCTCACATTCCAGTCCTGCTGTTTCCCCTTGGCATTTGCTGCCAAACATTCCTGCCTGCAGAGAGAGCATCTGTGTCGAGGGCAAGATGTAAAACAGCCCTTTGACCACTTCAGCACCTCTGTTGACAACTTTAATGAAATCCCATTTATATTATTCCAGCTATGTCTTTCTGCCATGCCTTGGAGGTCCCTGCTTTCCTGCTCTCACCTCCAGGCACTGCCTGATTTCAAAGCCTCTCTGACACCAGGGCTTGGGTGCTGCACCTCAGAGGTGGCTGCACTTCAGCCTTCTGCTACCTTGTGGTATGTGGTGATGTTTAATTAATATCAAGCACTTTGAAGTCCCCAGTGTTACTTATTCATGCTCGTGTTCCCCGCAGACCCTCCTGTTTGATGTCCACGTTGGGGGTGTCATTTAGATGCAGTCCTCTTTGTGGCAAATTTAAGAAGAGAGGAGAGGTTGTTCTTTAGGGCACTTGTGAAAAGTTGCCCTTTTCAGGCAGGAGATCATCTTGGACACATATTCAGAGATTTCTGAATACATGCTGGCATTGCACTGGGATGCTCACAGCACTTCTGTGGTGTAAACCCAGAGAAACTAGCTCTGCCCTTAATAAGTGCATTCTCAGGCACAGCCATTCTCCATCACAGACCATCACATCTGGATATTTGTCCCTCTGTGGTACCCAGGAAGCAGAGGGTGCTTTCTGTGTCCTGGGATGTGGAAATTAATTTAAACTTGCTAAGTTTGGGCACTGTGTGTTGAACAATTGCATGAAAGCAAGAAACCTCCATCTCAAAAACACAGGAAAGCTTTCCCTGCTGCTGAAGTATTTACACAAAGCAATAACCACATGAAAGATTGTTCTTTAATGATAATTTTCTTGCTATCTTTCAGCAGTGATTCTTTTCTTTCCATTGCAGATGAGTTTAGAAAATGACGATAAGAGAGCACGCACGCGATCCAAGTCTGTCAGAGGTGAGCAGCTGGTTATCCCACAACACCACAGCTCCTGAGCTCCCTGCACTTTCCTTGTTCCAAATAGGCTTTGATTTTTCAGGTCTAGGCTTTAACTCCCCAAGTAATGCTCACTGCCCCCCACTCCCCAACACCACTTAAACTTTTCTAAAAATCCTGCGGAACTCCCAACCACAAACCTTTTTTAGGTCCTTATGATATTTAACCCTCATCCTCTACAGTCAGAAAGAGGAAAATAACAAGAAAATTAAAAAAAAAAAAAAAAAGCCCCTGTGCATGCTTTGCTGTAGGGGATGGCAATCACTGGAGCTTCAGATCAGCTCCCGGGGCTTTCATCATGCTCACTCTGCCAGCGGCTTTGAAGTCGCACATCTGAGAGAGCCTGGCAGAAGTAGCTCATGTTGGAGAAGCAAACAGGCCATCCCCCGGCAGGGATGGGAGGACAAACGACTGGTTAATGCAAAGCTTGATTGCTGTTTATTTTCTGATTTAAAAAAAAAAAAAAAAAAAAAAAAGGAAGGAAAGAAAAATAAGCGCAGGTCTCTGCGTGCTTTCTCTTCAAGAGAAGGCGAGGTGCTCTGATGCAGAGCCCGGGGTGTCGCCTCAGGTGGTCCCACATCCATGTGTGATGGTTACAGACCAGCCTCTTGATTTTGGTTCCTTTTTGGGGTTGTGGATTTGACAGATGACGAAGGTGGCTGGAAGTGAGAAGTGAATAAGGCTGGAAAGGTGTGATGGCTGCAGGGACTGCAGCTTCATCCTACAGTTTGGGCTGGACCCACCTTCCTTTGTCCTCACCTTGCTCTTCACAGCGTTTGCATCTTTTAAAAAAAAAAAAAAAACAAAACCCAAACCCAGATGCTGCCAGTTGTGCTGAACTGAGCTTGGATATTTGGATTTCACTGCTTTGTTACACATACACAAAGGTGCTCGCTCAGGTTGCAAATGAGAGCCCCCTGATCCTATTTATTTTCTCACACCCTGCCTTCCCCACACTTGAATCTGGGTTTCTCCATGTGAAAAGGTAATTTATTGTGTACACCCTGGGACTTGCCACTGCCTCCAGTTTGTTGAAGCTTGTGAGTCATCCCACTGGGAGCTGGATCCCAGGAAACCCAATTAGCTCAAACAAATTGAGCAAACGTGTTATGGTTTTTAGCCTGGGCGAATTTAGACTTGTGTTGAGGGATTTTTTTCCTCCTGACTATTTGGATTCCTGACTGGATGTAAGATTTCAGCTATGATGATGTGAAGTTATTGAATATAGTTATTGTGAACAGTGAGAAGCCCTCTTATTCACAAGTGGGGAATAATTCCTAACACCCTTACAAACTGTTGAATATCCTAAAACCCAAGTAACACACCCCCTACTATATATCTGAGCACTGATAGGGGCTCAGTCCAGTGTGACAAGAGGATAAGAAAAATGGTGTTTTAGAAGTGAATGTGGCCATTGCAGCAAAACAGTTGCAAACTGTGGAAAAAGAAATTGATGAGCAGATTTTAAGGGCAAACACAGAGAAGAAGGCATGAGAAAACTCGGTCTTTACTTAAACTTGTTTGAGTTACATGCATGTCAGTCTAGCTCCAGCAACTTCAAAGTCATCTGTATTCAGAGAAGAGAGGTAGTCCCTGATGCTGCAAACGTGCACTCACGTGCTTGAAAACAAGCACAGGTATGAGGATTTACAGGACAGGATTATGATTTACTACAGGCTGGCGTGCAGTAAATGACAGCAGGATAGATTTTCCCTTTCTGTCCTGAATGGGATGCCCGAGGAGGCAATAGAAAGGCAGCTGCAGGCAGGAGAGTTTCCTCCCCGAGAAGGGGGATGCCCTGGAGGGTGGGGTTGGGCACTCCTGTTGTGTATTTGACCACGTGTTTGTTTCCATTTCTGCATCTGCCCCTTCTCCCAGTGCCCACGGAGCTCATCGGCCAGGAGGTGAGGTAAGGACCCTGCTCCTCCTCGGCGGTGGTGTGGGGTGGGGGGCACATGGTGGGACTGGCTTGGGATAAGCCCCTCAGCTTGGGAACCCATGTGGGGGGGGCAAACCTGTGGGATTAGCGGGGTGGAGATCTTGTTGGGAGGGCTTATATTGGCTTATTTACACCTTGTTGTGTCCAGGTCCTCAGGGTACCACTTGACAAAACATGTCAGGAATCACAAGGTTTAAAGGGATGAAAACAGGAGCTCTGGAAAGGGTCACATTAGGGACAGCGTCCTACTAACCAACTAACCACACTTTCTTTTCCACATATTTTACAACCTCTTATTCCCTCCCCAGACAATATCATGTCACATCATTTCTCGTGCCAGATGCTCCTCCTTTGGCCCCACGTCCCCTGTTCAGTCACCGAGGTCCTGTGGTCACTCATTTAGCAGTGCTGGCTTGCCAACAGCAGCAGCCAAAAGAGCAGGAGCGGAGCCTCTGCAGCCCTACAGAGCTTCTTAATAGATATTACAGCCTCCCCCACCTCTAAGCCCCCGTTAAACCTTCCACAAGGGCTTTTGCAGGAGGTAGGAGTCTTTAACCTGGACAGGCACTAATAGCAGGGGCTGCCTCTCCTAGCAGCCTTCCTTAGAAAGCCATGTGTGTCAAAGAGTAATTGGACTTTAACCAACCCAATTTCAGAGCATTTCTGCTCCTCCACTCTCCTATTACTCTGGAGAGCCGGGAGGAGCGAGCGGTGGGCATGCCCCTTCTCCAACTTTTATTGCTGAACACTTGAGTGGAGGTGGTAATTGGAGCAGGTGACATATCTAAGGGGCAGGACAGAGTGCTCCACAAAGCCATCTCTGCAGCTGTCACCTAATTGCCTGAATAACTGGACGATTAATCGACTAATTGGAAGCAGGGCATCGTCTGCATAACAATAAGAAGCCCTTTTGTCAAGCAGATGAAGGCTGGAGAGAGGGGGAGAGCTGGTCGGTGTGGTGGCTCTTGAGAGATGGAGAGCAGCTCTAATAGACCTCGAAGCTCCTTTCCCCTTTTGGGACTCCTGCCAAAATACACGAAACCTCCCCAAAGGAGAGTGGGGAGGGAAAGCCTGGCCCAGAGCATGTCGAGCATCACCTCTGTGCTGGTGCTTTTTAAAGGCGTTAAATTAACACACTGAAGCCAGAAACATCCCAAATCAACACCTGCTTTGGCAAACCTCGATGCTGAACCACTTGGCTCTTTCCTACACGCTTTTTATTGCAAGGCTTCATTTCACCACATCAAAAATGGGGTGTGTGGGGGGGCTAATCAGCTTTAATTGATACAGGAAAACTTATAAAAGCCTGTAACATCTTCATCAGAGCTGTTCTTGTTTCCCACTGAATAAGGTCTTTTTCAGGCAAGTCACTGGCGACATAAACACTGCTCTGTCTCTTGGTGTGCAGTCACTGGAAGTGTGTCTGGGGCTGCTCAGGACAGAGCAGCCTCAGTCAGGACTGAGGGCAATTAAAATTAAATAGCCTTTTAGATCATGAGCAGCAAAGTGGGGAGCTCCCTATTCCGCTGGCACATGTTAGTGGGATGAGATCTTTTTCTGTCTGACCTGAAATGTTCTGCTGGAGAAAGGGACACCTCACTGCCAGGCCAGACCCTGTGTGAGGTGGGGCTTGGGCTGTGTGTGGATGCCAAAAGAGCTGGGACCCGTCCCTCAAGTGATGGCATTGGAGGATGCTTTAAACCAGGCCACAAGCAAAGGGGACAGCAGGAAGGGGGCACTTGTCTTGGAGGAGCCAGGAGGTGCAGCTTCCACTCGCCCAGAAAGCTGTGTCCCCTTAGTGGATGTGCTGCCACCATTTGCCCTCTCAGCATTAGCTTTGCTAACCTACATCAAGCTGCTCTCCCTGGAGGAAGGATTCCCACTCTCCTGGCAGTTCAGCAGCCCTTTTCTGTCCTGGTTTTGGCTTGAATTATATTCTTTGAACACAGCAATCTGACTTGTATTCTGGTGAGTTGAACCATTAATAACCCACCAGTGCCCCCAGAGCTGCTGCACCCATTAGTGCAGTCAGACTTTCCATGTCCTCAGCTTTTTGCAAGGGCTGAGCACTCTGCTGAGAGCAGAAATTCTGAGTCCCTAAAGCCTGACTTGGCACTTGGTACTATTTAATGTTGTCCCGTGTCTTTTACTCCAAGAATAACAGGCTGGCCAGATCCCCTCTGGGCTGGTGATGCCTTCTCCCTTTGCACTGTCATCAAGCGATTTCATTAGTGCTTCCAACTTCCTGGGCTGAGGGTGATACAGTGCTAAATGAGGTTATTAATCCCACACGACTCCAGAATTCCTCAGACAGCAGGCAAGTCACTTGGGCGTCCTATAATCAATGCCATAATCTGGTTTTGCCAGAAAATGTTTGCTTTAATGCTTCTTATCTGGAGCCCTTACAGCTCCTGAAGCTGGGACTAATTACCCCTGCAGGGAAGGTGCGTGGTCCCGTGCCGAGGGATGCTCAAGCGAAGGCAGCAGTGGCTGAGAGTGTGGCTGGCTCAGAGCTCCCTGCAAGCCTTTAACTCATCCTCTTCTGCAGAGCAGCAGGGAAAAAAAAATGCAGGGATTTGGGAGGTCTGGTCACCTAAATCCCATCCATCCCTCTAAAAGCGGGGCTATGAGGTGCTTTTGAGGGTTTTGGTCCTGGTGATCTTCACCCAAAGTGCTCTGGCAAAAATCTTTTCTAAAAACCACCCATTTCTTGCGCTAAGGAACTCCAGTTCCCTGATAAGCCACCAAATAAAGAAAAAAACTCATGTTTTCCTCCTGAGAAAAGGAAAACTGGAGTGGCAGCAGGGAGGCAGAGCGCAGTAGCTGTCTGCCTTTAAAATCTTGCTCTTACACACGCAAATCTTTAATTAAACATACTCATAAAACTATAGTGAACCCGTTCATCTAATTAAATAGGGTGAGTAATTTCGTTAATTTTTAGCAAACTGCAAGGCTCGTCTCCTGCCCTTCTCCCTTGGAATTCAAAGGGGCAAGTTGAACCATTTGAGGGAAATTATCTTCCCGTTTGTGGTTATTTTGTTCCTGGGGCTCAGGACCTGTTTAACTGACCATAGTTTATAGACTTCTAATTAAAGAGTAATTCCCCAAGTCCTGTTGCTGTTCTTGATGTTTGCTTGTTTCCCTCTCAAGCTGTCCAACCCCAGGCTGTAACGGCTCAGGACACATCCGTGGGAAGTATGCGAGACACAGAAGGTGAGGCTGCACTGGAGGTAGTGGAGTGGAAAAATGTGAGCAAGAAACCCAAACACAGAGGCTCACTGGAGAAAATTTGATTTAGAGCAGCAACCCGACTCGTCTGTCCCAAGTCTGCCCACTAGAGAGCTGGTTTCTGTCTCTCCCTCAGTCCCTAAGGGGTCCTGGGGAGGTCTGTCTCTCCAGGCTGACAGCAGCCTTCCTACAGGCCCTAGAACTTGGCAGAAGTACCTGACTCAGGTGCCAGGGGTTGGTGGAAGCTGTTGACAGGCAGAGGTTTTGGTCTGCTTAGTGTCTCTATGGATGGGGAGGGGAAATAAGGACACAGTCTGCCTTTGAGGCCATGCCAGCCTTAACTGATGGTTATCATCACCCTATAATGGTGAAATTGCAGCAGCTGGTGGACACGCCCCAGGGGCCAGTTCTGCACCCCCTGCCTGGTTTCATGGTCCCCACCAACACTGGGGTTGTGAGATGATGGTCCTGCTGCTCCCTGGACAACAACTGCAAGGAAGCTGCATCCCAGCATCCATGCTCCTTTCTGAAAAAAAGTTGATGTAGTTGCACAAAGTCATGGTCTGAGAGTAGATCTGGCCACAGAGGGCTAAAACAGCTAAAAATCTGGGCTGCTGGATGGTTTTTTTTGGTACTATTTGTGCATTTGTCCCACTTGCCTTTGCCTAACCAGCTGGGATGAGGTAGCCAGGCCTTTCTCACCTGGCAATGCCTTCTCTCTGCTCCTTGGTCCCACCTGCAGTTTACAAAGTTGTCCTCTGGCAAAGAAGAGGAAACTTCAGGATGCGGAGGCCGAACATCTGGTGTCGAAGAGGAAATCCCATCCGCTCAAGCTGGCCTTGGATGAAGGCTACAACGTCGACAGCGACGGCAGCGAGGAGGCCGAGGCGAAGGAGGAGTCTGGCTCCGATGAGTCGGAGGGGATGCTGGAGGAGGATGAGGCGGAGGCAATGGAGCAGGAGGAGACCCGCAGCCCCGAGCAGGCAGAAGGTGCTTTATCATTATTGATTGCAGAGCTGTGTTCTGCAGATGAGGAAAGGGCAGGGAGTGTTAACAACCAGGAGTTATAGCTCCTCTGAATTATGTACAGGATGGGTCCTTCAATTATGGCACTGGGTGGAAGCAACAAAGCAAAGCTCTGCTTAAGCTGAGAGGGGACACGCACTGATTGTCTCCAGTGTCTTAAAAATGAGAGCTTTTCCACCAGGGATGCTCCCTGAGGAAAGACACATGGAAAGCAGAGAGGAACTTGCTGCGTGGCTCAGATGGTAGCGGGGAAGGCAGCAGGGGTCCCACATTGGTGCTGTGAGGGGCTCAGCAGGAGTCATGACCCTGGCTGAGGAGGAGTGACCTGCAAAGGAGATGGGTCTTCAGCCAGGGGCCTGACACTGTCTTGCTCACTGTTTTGAAGCCCTGGTCTGGGGAACACTGGGAGCAGGGGGAAGAGATGGCTGCTGATAGGAGTGGGGGTATGAGAGGGTAGGAAGAGCTGGGAACATGGTGAATCTGAACCACATGAGAGCTTCTATGTGGAAATCCCCTTCCTACCTGCCATCCTCAAATGCAATAAAATGAGGCTGCTCCAGGGGTAGAGCTACCAGGCTCTGGTTTCAGGTAAGTTTAAATACAAAAAAGAAATGTTTATGAGCTTACATAATTACTTTCATTTCCTCCTTTCCTTTTTCCCCTTTTTTCCCCCCTTTCCTCTTTCCCCCTTTCCTCTCATTCCCTCTTTCCTCTCTTCTCCCCTTTCCTCTTTTCTCCTCTGTTTTGTTCCCTTGCTTCTTTTCCCCCCTTTCTTATTTTCCTCCTTTTTTTTTTTTTCTTTTCTTTCTTTCTTTCTTTCTTTCCTTCTCCCTTTTTTCTTTCTATTCCTTCTTTCCCCCCAACCCCCTCAGAGAGAAGCCCAGCAAAATCAACCCATTATGGACAAAACACAGCATCAAGTACGTCTGGGCCCAGCAAGGCCAACTACAGCAGCTACCAAGAAATAATCGCCAACTCCCTGCTGAACCTGGGCCAAATAGCGGAGGAAACCCTCGCCATCGAGGGGCAGCTGCCCGAGGCGGAGCTGCAGGTGTCCAAACCGCCGTCCAACGTTGTGCATTTGGTCCACGAGGATGCGGGAGAGGAGCTGGTGGAAGAGGAGTGCGACAAGGAGATCATCATCCAGACGGAGGATGCGGAGGAGGTCATCGAGGTCACCAGCGAGCGCAGCAGCGAGTTGTGCCCAGAGCACAGGGACGATGCCGCCTGCGAGGAGTCCTGTAAACTGGAAAAGGCTGAGGCAGAGGAGGAGGATGAGGAGGAGGAAGAGGAGGATGACGATGAGGAGGAAGAGGAGGAGGAGGATGACGAGGAGGAGGAAGAAGAGGAAGAAGACGAGGATGAAGAGGAGGAGGAGATGGCTCCTGAAGTGATCTGCGAAGAAGCTCCTCACACGTCTCAGGACACACAGAAAAGCCACTGTGAAGGGCAGTTCAGCCCGAAACCCGAGTACTCGGTCATCGTGGAGGTCCGGTCAGACGACGACAAGGACGACGATGCCCGGTCCCAGAAATCCGCCGTGACCGACGAGTCGGAGATGTATGACATGATGACGAGGGGGAACCTGGGGCTGCTGGAACAAGCCATCGCGCTGAAAGCCGAGCAGGTGAAAATCGTGCGGGAGCCCAGCCGGCTGCCGGGAGAACACGTGAAGCACTTCCAGGTGGATGACAAACAGAGCAAACCACTGGACAGCATCCGAAAGAGCTACTACGGCAAAGGTACAGGGACAAGCCTCTCCTTCCTTTCCCAGCAAAAGAGATGAACTTGTCTGCTCAGCACCCTCTGATAACTAGGCTGATGGTGGGGGGAGCTCACAGCCCACTGGGGAAATTTAGCCACAAACCCTCAACGCCCAAAGGGATGGGGACATCCGAGAGGTCAACAGTGAATGCACAGAATGATGTGCCCTACACCATCCTTCCTCTCAGCAGAGGAATTGCTTGGCTAAATTGTCCATTGGCCTTGAAAATCTGAGTCTGAGCTGTAGGGCTGGTTTAAAATCCAAGAGGGTTTTTAAGTAGTGGTAGGACTCTGGCCACAGGAACACGAGGGGTAGGGGCTTTGGCATCCTCTGGCACTGAGCTGGCTGCCTATGAGCTGCTCCATGCTCCAAACTGGGTTTGTTCCTCAAATTACTTTACCAATTAAAATTTTTGAAACCTCCTGTGTTAAAATTCCACCTTCAGGAAAAGAAAAACCAACCTTCAAACCCGAAGGTTTCTCCCTGTTTGGCTGCAAAAGCGGTGGGGAAGCACCCTCAGCAGTTTTTTGTCCCCTTTCCACCTCTTGCCCTCCAAATCCACTAACCTGCTCCCCCACCGCCCTTTCCCCACAATCCTTAGATCCTTCGAGACCCGAGAAGCGAGAAATCAAATGTCCGACTCCCGGCTGTGATGGGACCGGCCACGTCACGGGGCTCTACCCTCACCATCGCAGCCTCTCGGGCTGCCCGCACAAAGACAGGATCCCCCCCGAGAGTGAGTACACGGTGGGATAACAAGGGCTGCTTAAATCAGCCTGTGACCTTATTTCCTAGCAGGAATTTCACACCTCATGGGTAGCGCTGCCTCAAAGCTCTCTGAATAAACTCCCAAAATGGGGGAAGTTTTATGGCTGAGTCTCTAGCACAAGCTGATGTTATTCCTTGGAGTATAACAGTTTTTGGGAGGGGATGGTGCTTTTCCAAGTCGATGCTGGGTGCTGCTATCCACCAAAGTGTTATTGCTACTCACAGGAAACAGGGTGGAGATTTGCTTTGAAGTCCTGCCCTTCTTAAAGATTTTTAGCACCATCCTGTGGAGAACGAGGTCCCTTCTCCGAAAATCAAAGAGGGGCTTTAAAAACGCCTGCTCACCTCCAGAGGTGTGTTAAGCAGTGCCCATCTTTACACTGAAAGTCACATATTTTTCCCTATAAGGGATGTCATGTCGGGAAGAAGGGGATACAGTTCTTCCCTGCCGTCCAAACGTGTTGACGTGCAGGAAAGGAGAGGAGCCATTCAGGATGTACAGGATAGCTGAGTCTCCTTCTGTGCTCTCATCACTGCAAAATTCACAAGGTGCTATAGCAAGATTCACCTGTTCTACAGAAAATATTTCTCTTCATCATAGCAGATTTTTGTATATGCATAGAGAGATATTTTATTTCTGCCTCTCTACCAGCATCCTAAATAGCTTTCCCTGCACAGATACATAAAAATCAAGGTTGTATGTTTATGATAATGGCATAATAGGAAAAAAAAAAAAAAGGAGCCCTTCCTTATCAGTAATTTCAAAGGTTGCAGACCTGCCATAAACACAGAACTTGCAGGAAACAAGGGGAAAGTACAGCTATTTTCACAGGCTGGAATGCAAGAAAAAATACTAATAAACAACTAACACAAGCTGTGTGCTTTACAAAAGCTTGCAGATCGAATTATTTCCTTTACTTCTAAGGTCAGCGCTGCAGGAAGCAATAATCCTGAAGATTAAAATTAAAAAAAAAAAAAACCTAACAAAGACCCGTCCTAAGGATAAAAGCAGAGATACAACTTCAGTCACTTAAAACTACCTGAAATGGGGAGAACTGGTTGCAAAACATGGGTGGGCAGGAGGGGCTAGATGGGAGAAACTGGATTGCAATCAGTAAATGAGGAGAAAGCCCAGACTGTGTGCAGAGATGCTAATCTAGTGCTGACCTGAACGCTGCTGGCTTGTAAATCTTTTTTTTCCCCCTGCAAATTCTAATTACGGCATTTCACGTTGCCTGATTTCTAGGAAACCAGCGTACAAGACTTGATGATTTTGTCTTTTTTTTTTTTTTTTCTTCTCTCTGATTTTTATTAAGTTGTTTTTGTTTCCCTTCCCCTCTCCCCTTCCCCTTCTTGCTCTGAAGTCTTGGCGATGCACGAGAACGTGTTGAAATGCCCCACCCCAGGCTGCACAGGACAGGGTCACGTCAACAGCAACCGCAACACGCACAGGAGGTACCGGCTTTGGCTTCTTCTTACAAGGGCACAGTGACAGGACAAGAGGGAATGGCTTCCCCCTGCCAGAGCACGGGGTTAGATCGGATATTAGGAAGAAATTCTTCCCTGTTAGGGTGGGGAGGCCCTGGTACAGGTTTGCCCAGAGAAGCTGTGGCTGCCCCATCCCTGGAAGTGTCTAAGGTCAGGTTGGACAGGGCCTGGAGCAACCTGGTCTAGTGGAAGGTGTCCCTGCCCATGGCCAGGGGTTGGAACTAGGTGAGCTCCAAGATCCTTTCCAAGCCAAACTTTTCTACAATTCATGATTCTTTGTTAATGTGGCTGCAGGTGCAAGGTGAGTTTGTCTCATTATTTATTGTGGAAGAAGCAAACATGTTTCTCATGGGCTTAGTGTAGCTCTGTGTCCCTGAAACGCAGGGTTTGATGCTCATTCCTCATGCTTGGTTTCCTTTTCTCTTTTTTTTTTTATCTTCTTTCAAAAAAACCTCCAAAAACAACCCAAACCCAACTCCCACAGTTTATCTGGGTGCCCCATTGCTGCTGCTGAAAAATTAGCCAAATCACACGAAAAGCAACAAACCCAGCCTGGTGATCCTTCGAAGACCAGCTCCAATTCTGACCGAATACTCAGGTAAGCAGGACAGTAAAACCCAGCACCTCGTCCCTGCCCTGCCCCAGCCCTCCCTGCCAGGCCACGCTCCCAGGAGCAGCCGCCACGGCTCCCTCCAGCTGTATCTTGATACTGCTGAGCCCTGTTATTACGATCATAGGTCTCGCCAAGGTGGGGAGGTATTTAATTGATGGTCCCAGGGAGAGCATTGAGGACAATGAATTGCTTCTGTAGCATCAATTAATGCTGAGGCTACAGGCCAAAGGGTTTTACCAGTGCAGCAGAAGGCACTTGTGCCGATTGCTCTGCAGCACAAACTGCCAGCCAGTGATGGCTATTATATTAGCATTATAAGTAGGGTGGACTCAGGGAGGGGGAGGAGGAGATTTAGGCTACATACAAATCACTCCATGGCAGTTGCATGTAAGTCCACCTGCTTTTCTTCCTCAGCCCGCACGGTTCAGCGGAGAAGAACCTGCCACTCGTTTCCAAACCCATCACATTTATTTTGATATTTCGCCCATCTCTATCTTCCCGGGAGAAAGGGCTGCCTCACATTAAGGATGTCCCTGATAGATGCTGGCTTCTGTAGCTGATGTGATTCATGAGGCTACAGATGGATTGTAATATGGTTAGTTATTTTGCAGCGAGAGCAGGATAAAAACCACAGTGCGAGCCCCGAGCAGCACTCCCACAAAGGCATCGAGCCCTGATTAATTTATTTATTTGCTCCCCAGGACTGCTGAGCACCCTGGTGCACCAGCGCTCTGTGCTTTGGAAAGGCCATTTAGGGCGATTACTTATTTATTTGCAGCGGAGCCTGCGCTGGGCGCAGAGAGCTCTGAGTGCATCACGAGGACGGTCCATGCTCCAAGGAGCTCCCGCTCCGAGGACTCACTGGTGGAAAGAGGTCACGGGAAGGAGAATAACAATAGGCCATTTATATACAATTTATATGCAAGACAAATTGATTCATGATAGGCAGCCCCGCCGAAGCGGGTCTCCAGGAGGGACTGCAGGCAGGGGAGAGGCCCTGGTGTGTCTGCAACAAACCTGCAGAGGGGAGTGGAGCTGCACTGGGGTCCTCAGGCCTTTGTGTGCCACCCTGAGTCGTGGGTCCCATGTGAGTGAGTTGTACCCATTCCTGTGCTGTGTTGGAAAATGCTGCCATGCCGCAGCAGCTGGCAGGAACGTTGTTTTGATGAGTCTGACACCTCGATGTTTCGCTTAAAAAAAGATGGAAAAAAAAGGTAAAAAAGGATGAAAAAAACAAAAATGGAATCAAAGAGATCCAAACCAGATGCAGACCTGCTGAGGGAGAGCACAAGGGCTGTGGCTGCCTCCTCACGCCCAGGAAGCTGTCAGGAACAAGGTGCAGCTACACATCCCCATTGCCTCTGGTCCCCTCCCAGCAGTCATCTCGCCAAGGAAAAGAGAAATAATTGCTGCTCATTGTTTCATCCTCAGGCCTATGTGCTTTGTGAAGCAACTGGAGATCCCTCAGTACGGAAGCTACCGGCCCAACATGGTCCCAGCAACCCCCCGGGCCAACCTGGCCAAGGAGCTGGAGAAGTACTCCAAGGTCACCTTCGATTATGCAAGTTTTGATGCTCAGGTTTTTGGCAAACGCATGCTTGCCCCAAAGATTCAGACTAGCGAAACCTCACCTAAAGCCTTTAAATGTAAGTTGGGAGCAGGGATGGGCTGGGTTTCTGCGTTTTCTGCCTTTGTCAGCATGTTGTGAGGCTCTTGGGACTGTGGCTTTGGGGTGGTGGGAGAGGCTTGGGGATGAACTGCTGAATCCCTTTTGGGACGGGGAAGCTGAGCGGGGTCCCAAGGTGGGCACCTCTGATGGTGAGAGGAGCCCATGGCCGCTGGTAAAGCTTTACTTGGAGGAGAGTTGCTTTGGCTTCAGCTTTTGGAAGAACTGTGGTGTGAACATTAATCTGAGTGATGTCTCGAGGTGGGAGAAGTTACACAGCTGTCCTCAGTTGGTCCCCATTGCTCAGCAGCTCGTATCTATTGATCTGTCTTTCCTCATCTTGCTAAATGGATTACGGTTTTCTTCTCTTCCATCTTATATATGACCCATTCCACCCATTTGTTTCCTGCTGTGCTCTGCTCTCCAGCTCTGCTATCTATCGATCATCCACCTCTATCTTCCAGCTTTCTCCTGTTGTAGCCACCCACTTCTGCTCTATTCTGAGGCTCTTGCTCTGGTTATAACACTGTGGGTGAAAATGGATAAATAGACCCTGAGGGGATGGGCTGCTGGGGACAGGAGAGACGCTGAATAGAGGGGCAGACTATTGTAAATGTGTTAAACCTCCCCCTTCCCTTTGACACCAGCCATGCACCTGAAGATATCTTTTTAAGGAGGGGAAAAAAAAAAAAAAAAAAGAGATTTAGAAGCCCAGTTTGCAGAAGTCAGCAGCCTCAAGAGGGCTTTCTGTCTGGCTAATCCCACTTCCACAATCCTGTTTAATCCTGATGCAGCTGCTCTCTAAAAAAGTGCTCGTACTTGAAAGCATCCTGGTTGTTGCACTACAATGGGAGCACCCTTTATTACAGTACTAAATCTGTACAGGATCAGACAATGAAATTGGATGGAGGCCAGAGAGCACAACTGCCACTGTCATCCTGGGTTAGGGCTGATGGAAAAGTAATTTGTTTCCCAGCACAAGTGATTCTCTCGTTGAATAGATTGTGTTATTTGCAATATTAGCAAAGAATTTTCAGGGTAATTGTACTGACAAAAATAATTCCAGCAGACCCACTAGGATAATCCTTTCTATTTTTTCTCATCACTTATTTCACTAATTTGCTGATTGCGAGTCTATTAGTGGTAGAAATACTTACGAAATGGAAAAGCATGGCTGAGCCTACGGTGTGAAATTGAAATTGGCATCTCCCGATCCTGGATGCTGTCAGGTTGGGCGGGCGGATACCCACACCCCGCCACAAAGACGTGGATTAAACCGGACAGGAAAACAAGCAGCCAGACACAAGAATAACCACTTGGGCAAACCTCCAATGAGTTAATCAAAGCGACAGGATGAATATGATTGCCAATCATAGCAGGGAAATCTGCTCCTTTCACTGAGAACTTATTTTAAAGAGATCTTCATCCAGAGGGATTTATATTCCCCTGCATGTGTGTGCATAACTCCCATTAATGTCAATATGCATTATATACACACGCAACGAGGAAGAAAGCGGTGCTGGGGAAGATTAGTATTTTATAGTGCCTTATATTACAAGTTCATAATGGGGGTAATGAAATCACTTTGCTCCATGGCTGCATCAACAGAGGTTGTCTTTGCTTTGCCATCATCAGGCCAAAGCTTAGGAGTCTTCCCTGGGTGAGACTCCCACTAAAGGGGGGATGGTTTCCCCCAGAAAGGGCATAGTAGAATGAATTCAGAATTTGAAGATTTTGGTAATTGATTCAGAATGCAATCCTGTGACTGTTCTAAATCAGCTGATCCTCTGATTGCACCCACTGAAACAGCTGACTTAGAGGGACCCTGTGTGGGTCAAGCCCCCTCTAAATGGGACCAGGTTCAAGTTTTATTAGTAGGAAATCATTATTTATTATTAGGGAAAGATTTATTGTGCATTCCCCCTGAGAAATACTCGCTTTCATTTCACAGGGTGTGAAGAGAAATTGCATTTCCAGGTTGGCACTGCTGTGACATACAGTAACAGAGTGGCAGCTGTATAATAAATCCAGTTATTCAGGCATATTTAAATGATATGTCAGCTGTCAGGAAATCCATATTTCACCGGTGTTATCTTTGGAAGCTCATATTTTATGACCGTAGTTTTTCTAATAATGTAATTTTTTAAATTTTAAGTTTTCAAGCGTGCTACTAGAGATGTCCTCGTAAGGCAGCTCTGCAGATAAGTTGTGGACACACAGAGGACAATAAAAAAAGAGCCAGGAAGCTTCTCAAGGCCTTCTCCTTTAGCTTCTTAAACCGAGGAGGAGCTCTAATGAAGAAAAGCACTTGTGTTTTGGGTATTGATGGCAGAGTCAGTTAAGGAATTAACTTTTCACACTAAGAGACCATTGCACAAGCTGCAGCCAGCATTTCTCCTGTTGCATGTCTCAGGCAACAAACCAGCCCCTGGATTGGGAATAACCCCAGGAACTGTGAATATATTAGCTGTGTCAAACCAACTTAACCTCTCGCTGCTGCCCATGCCGGTTACACATGAGCCTTGTGTTGTTCCTTCTCTTTTTATTCCAGCCAAACCTTTTCCAAAGGCCTCTTCCCCCAGCCACAGCCCCTCCAGCAGTTACGTGAAGAGCACTTCATCTTCCTCCACAGGCTTCGACTACTCCCACGACGCTGAGGCTGCGCACATGGCTGCCACTGCCATCCTCAACCTCTCCACCCGCTGCTGGGAGATGCCCGAGAATCTCAGCACCAAGCAGCAAGAGGCCCCCAGCAAGGTGGGTGCACGTGCCAGGGCACCACTGCCCAGGGGCCAGACTTGAAGTCCGGGGTGGGAGGAATACCTTGGTTTGCCCTTCCTCCCATTTTAGTTTTTACATGTAGAGGGAATGCAGGCACTCGCCACAAATCACCCTTTAGCCCCTGGTTTTGAGTGATGCAGCTTGGAGGAGGTTGATCTTGGCTCTTGGTGTGCTACGGAGGTGCGCTGTGGTTCAAATTACCCGTGGGAGACGAGCAGCGTTGCCAAGCCAAGTCTCAGGTTTAGACTGGACATTAGGAAAAATTTATTCACTAGAGCGGTGGTCAAGCCCCGGAACAGACTGTCCATGGCAGCGGTGAAGTCACCATCCCTGGAGGGATTTAAGTGCCACATGTAGATGTGGCACCTGGGGACATGGTTTGGTGTGTCCTTGGCCGTGCTGGGTGAACGTTTGGACTTGATGACTTTAGAGGGTTTTTCCAACCCAAACGATTCTGTGATTCTCAGAGCTGGTTTAAGTTACTCACTGATCTCTATCTGATGCCACTTGAGAATCCCCAGATGCATCCAGACTGATTTCCAGCTATTTTTCAGGGGAACACAGGTTTTCCAGAAGTCCTATGGAGCACCCCAAGCCTTGGGAAGATGTTTTGGATCCCATGGGGCATCTTAAGGGGCACTAGATACCTGTGTTATTCAAGTGGGTCAAAATGCCACATGGGGTGCATTTTCATGACGCCTTCCTGAAATATTTAGGAAAGAACATCCCTTTTAATTCGGTTCCTTAACCATGGTTGTAGAGAGGACGGGACATGAAAGCCTGCCCTCTGCACTGCAAAAGACAAATGGGGGCAAGATCTCCACAGGGAGTCGCTGGCAGCTGCTAACATGGGGCATGTTTCCAACCTTTCAGTCCATGGACATTGAGGTGGATGAAAATGGGACTCTGGACTTGAGTATGAACAAACACCGCAAACGGGAGAGCACCTTTCCCAGCAGCAGCAGCTGCAGCAGCAGTCCCAGCATGAAGTCTCCAGACGTGTCGCAGCGCCAAAACAGCACCAGTGCCACGAGCAGCACCATGACCTCCCCCCAGTCCAGCCAGACCTCCCGCCAGGACGAATGGGATGGGCCCATCGACTACACTAAACCAAACCGTCAGCGGGAAGAGGAGCCAGAAGAGGTGAGAAGTGACTCTTCATGCTTGAATCTCCCTCATGGGCGATTGAATGCCATGTCTGCTTGCACAGTTGTCCTGTTCCTTTCACCCTCTCCACACCTAGTTTGCCCTTTGAGCCTAGGGAAGAAACATTTCTGGCTTTGTCAGTACTATCAGGTATCACTGGGAAGGAAGGATCTCTGTTTTGGGTACTGTAAGGTGCTTTCAGAGGGCTCAGGAGTGTTGGCAGTGCTTCACTCTCAGCTGGGATGAAGATGGGATCCTTTCCCACCACAATTCAGCAGCAATGACCACCACTACAACCACTGTTCCTGGATCTTTTCTTGCAGTCAGAACCTGCCGCTCACTCTTTTGCCTCCTCGGAAGCTGATGAGCAAGAAGTGTCAGAGGAAAACTTTGAAGAGCGAAAATACCCAGGGGAAGTTACTTTAACCAACTTCAAGCTGAAATTCCTCTCCAAGGACATCAAGAAAGAGCTGCTCACGTAAGTCCTCCTTCTTGTCTCTTCCTCCAAAATCTACTAAATATGTACCTAGCACAGCCAGGCTGGTGGGAGACAAAATTTGTTAGTAAATAATTTTAAAAATAAGAACTGTACTTCCTTTCTTACTGTGGTTTGCCTTAGCTCATCTGAGTGGTTCAAATGAAAGCTCAGAAGAAACCCCACACTCATACAACAGCTGGTCAATGAGGCAAAATACCTTCCTATATGGCCTTACTCTTCAGTGATAAAAAGAACCTATTAGGGAGCTTGGTGCTCTCAGGATTCATGGACAGGGTTGAGGAAAACCCCTTTCTTTTCTTTGGTGTTTCCTGCAAGAGTGTTTCTGGCACAGTGAAGGAACCTGCCCAATCTCCTGACCCTTTGTTCTAGGGCACTGGGTGATGCTGCGGAGCCAAGAGCACTCAAGGGATCTCAGCACCTTCTTGATGGGGGTGTTGAACCACGAGATGTCTCACTGAGAAGACAGGATTTGCTGGCTTAGAGCAGAGGGTCCCAGCACCGTGATACTCCAGGGTCACAAAATTGCTGTCAGGCTGTATTTTGACATTGGAGAGAGACCCTGATCCAGCTCACATCTGCCTATTCATCGGGTGGGTGGAAGCACAGACCCAGATCTGTGCTATTAGATGGAGTATTGCTCTGCATCCACGCTGATTCCCACAGAAATGGTTAATGTTTAAGAGTCTGATCCAAATATGGCAGCTTGGACCTCTCTCTGACCTGATGGCACGTCGGGATCATACTGGAGGTTGTGGTGGGGAGGTCTCCCCTCCCAGGCATCCCAGCTGTTCTTGGCTGCTTTCCTGTGCCTCTGACCCCCCTGTATGTTAAACAGGGTAGAGCTGTTGGGCACTGTTTTCCTGACCTTATACATCTCACTCATTATTTGGCTTCTGCAGGCAGGAGGCTGAGGGAGCAGACGGGCAGGGAGGAGATCTGTGGGGGCAGAGAAGCAGCAGCATCTTCTCTAAATGAGCAAAGCACAGACCAGCTGCCCTCATCCAAAACTCTAAAGGCTTTTTTAAAACCCAGCAGCACCTTGAATAGCAATTTCTGAGGTAGAGCTCTGAAGTCTTCCTGTGCTTTAATTTTATTGTGATGGTGCAGAAATTTCCTGAATGGAAACAGCCCTGGAATAAATAAATGGTGTCATGGGCAGTGCTGAGGCTTCCCTCCCAGTTTAGCATCCTTTCTGATACAAAGACTGTGATGAATGAGCTGTAGTTAACTCAAGAGCAGACTCACCTGCTGTGTCTGATGCTCTGTGTCTGGATGTAGCTCTTGCACCACTTCCAGGCACAGATGGCATGGAAGGTGCTCCTCACCTGTATCTTCCCATTGCCCTCCTGTTGGCACACGAGTGGGAACCACACAACCAGACATCCCTGCTGCTTGAACATCACCACATCCGTGCTGATGAGGGATGAGCAGGGAATAGGTGCCTCCAAGCCTCAACCTGCTGGGCCAGGCTGTCCCAAGGTATCCCTGCAGTGTCCCAGGACATCCCTGCTTGCTCATACACCCTTGTCTTGGGGCAGGAGGGCATGACTGTGCCAGAGACTTGCTGCTCATGCACAAACTGGATTTTATTCTCTGGACATGGAGATGGGAGAGCATCTTTTTCCATCGCCCATGCAAGTACAATTCACAGAGAAGGCAGCAAAGAGGGATGGCTGGGAGGTACAGTCGGTGAAGGTAGGGGGTGGGATGCAGCAGCTCCTTCCTGCCCTCTGTTTGGAGCCTCCAAGCACATAGTCAGAGGCTACTTTCGTTCCCTCTCTGCAGTGAAAATTGTCTTCAAGCTTTTCTTCACAGCTAAAAGGGCTGGGAGAAAAAAAAAAAAAAACAAATCGTTCCAGAAAGCTGAACTCTGAAGCACCTTATTCAGCTCTGAGATCTAAACCAGATGATTCCTGCAGCCAGAGCTTCAGTATTGCAGGAATCATCCAACCTGGCAGCACCAGCCAGGGGTGTTCATACCTGTCAGGTCATGCCACCCAGCAGGCTGCTGTCAGTCCCCCACTGCCACCAAGCACTCCAAGCAACCAAGGATTTTAAACACTTCCTTCTCATTTACTGCACCTTTTTTTCCAATTTTAAAATTTTTTCTAACAGGATCCTTGGGATTTTTTGGCAACAAAGAAGGGGGGAAAGGGAGCTGAAGGGGAAATGTCTGGTTTCTATCCATGCAAACATACAAACACACACCGAGACCCACCTCATAGACCCCGCGGGGGCTCAGCTGGCTTTGCCCATCTGGGGCTCTTGTAGAATCCATTCCTTTCCCACATTTATGATCCCTCTTGTTGTTGTTGTTGCCCAGTTGCCCAACCCCAGGCTGTGACGGCAGTGGACACATAACGGGAAACTATGCCTCTCACCGCAGGTGGGTTGACCTTTTTTTCGTGGTTTGACCTCTAAAGACAACTTTTTTTATTCTTTTAGTATATTTTTTGACCATGTGGATAGTTTAGTCCTGTTTCCTCTCCCTTTCTGTTGCCCCTCTCCCTCCCCATTCCCTAGCCCTTTTTTTCTTTTCCTTTTTCCTTTTTTTTTTTTTTTTTTTTTTTGCTTATCCAGATATTCCATCTCTTCTCTTTCAGCCTTTCTGGTTGTCCTCTTGCTGACAAGAGCCTCAGAAACCTCATGGCTGCCCACTCTGCTGACCTCAAGTATGTTTGCGCTCAACTTGGAACTCCTTTTTTTTCTTTATTTCCACCCTTTTTTCTCTCTTCTCCCTTCCTGCCCCCACTCCTATTGCTCTGCTTTCGCTTTTCCATCCCCTCCCTTCTCCTTCCAAAGAGCTGATCAAAATCTGCCTGCAAGGAGCTCTGGTGGAGTCCAGCTTCCAGCTGCCACGATGAAGAGGCAATGGCATGAAGGAAGGCTTATTTTGGGGAGGGGGGCTCATGGCAGTGATTAGAGTAACCTGAGTGCCTGGCAGGTTTCCTCTGGGCATCAAGACATGCTATTTTCTTTTCCCAAGCTCTTGTTCCCTGGTTTGGGCCATAACCTTTTTCATGTAACATTTCTGTACATCTCAAATAATCCAAAACCTGGAGAAAGCCTCACGCTTTAATTCTGGGAACTAAAATGTGCTTTGTCCTGAATGCAGTCAAGGATTTTTTGAAGCCATAGGTGAGTCAGGGGTCACAAAGGTGATTGATAAAGTCCCAAATCCCTCTCTGATGGCCTGGAGGGCAGCGTGGCTCTGGGACTGCTCTGTGCCCCACCTCCCACGTGGGTGCTGGTACCAGGAAAAGTGTTTGTTCAATGCCTGCTCCTCATCACAGAGGTGGAAAAAGTGGCAGGATTAGTTGATATTATTAGAATATGCTGGTGGATGGAAAGGACTGGCATGATTAGTGCTAAGTACTCTTAATCATGCATTATAGGCTATATACATTTTGAAAGAACCTCTTCAGAGAATCTTCCTGAACTGGTGTTTCTCCAACAGCCCTAAAGAATAGCCAAGTGATCAGAAAATTAGTGTTAAAGATACTGAAAGCTCTCAGGAACAGTGCCCATTTCCAGTAAGGACCAGACAAAAAGCAAATGAGGTTGTACCTGAGATCGAACACTGCCCCCAGCTTTGCTGTGCAGGATCCTCTGCTCCCCTCAGGCATCCAGTGTGAGTGCTTTTTACCAAAATACTGCATAAAACAGACTTTTGGACACAAAAAAAGAAAAAAAAATCTTGTTAATATGTTTTCTCAAATACTTTTTTTTTTTTCCTGTGTCCTGGTGAGGATGGGAGCAGAGGAGGGAGGAAGAGAAGAGGATTTGGAGATGTTACAGATTGCACAGTCATAGCTTTTCACAGCTCCAGATAAGACCATGTCAGTGCTTCTATTATAAATTCTGTTTCAGGGGTTAATATCCCTGATATAAAAAAAACAGCTCCAGGCTGGAACATGCAATAAAAGGTCTCTGTGGGTATGATTTGTCTCCAGATAATTAAAAATAAAAATCAAATTACTTCTCTCCTCTCTTTGAAAGTCCTGAAAGGCAGAAAGAGTTTGGTGTTAGTGTTTTCATAATTTCCTCCCACCCTGAAGCTAGAACAACAAAGAAATAGTTTTGCTTTCTACTTATAGCAGGGAAATGTCACTGTCATCTCCCAAACCTGTAATTTCTAAATGAGTTGAAACATTTGCACCCTTGTTGAGGTTCTGCTGGATGTATCACCGCTCTAACTGGTCTGGATCTCTGTGCATTTATGTTTTCCTGCATCTGAGCAGGCTGAGCTTTGGTCCTGACTTATCTCCCTGACACCCTTCTGGGATCAGGATGCACATCCTGATCTGAGGTGAGGTGACAATTTTTTTTTGCCAACAGAGACTATTCAGTGACCTCTAAATGCCAAACTCTCCCTCTGAGCTTGTGCAAAGGGGAGAATTCTGATATTTTCTGGTCAAAAAAAGAGGACTTTTTGAGAGGCTGTTTTCCAAGCTGCCAGACAAAAGAGATTTGTGGAAATCACTGCTCTACTGACTGTCAGAGGCCAGAGCACCCCAACTATACCATTGGCCAGGCCAGGCACCAGCACAGAACCACAGAATAGTTTGGGGTGGAAGGGACCTTTAAAGGCCATCTTCAACTAAATCAGACTGCTCAGAGCCCTGTCCAATCTGGCCTTGGACGCTTCCAGGGACGGGGCATCCACCTCCTCCCTGGGCAACCTTTGAGAAAGTATATTGCCTTTCCCAAGGGCACTGACCTCAGGGGCTGCCCGTACACCACTGGCATGTCCTGGACACACATCAGTCCCTGCTCTGGGGCAGGTACCTGCCAGCGGTCCAAACCAGGCACTGGTGGCTTTAAAAATAGGGATTGAGGAAGGCGGGACACAGCAAAGCCCTTCCCCGAGGAGAATGGGCACTCTGCAAGCTCGTGGATGTGCCCTGAGCTTTGGTCAGAAGGAGCAACTGAGCATCTCCCCCCTCATCCTGCGGCAGCACCGTGGATTTCCTCCTCTTCCCACCCCTCCCCCGGTCCTAATCACTTGACTGAAAAAGCCCTGGCTAATTGGCAGGCTGGCGTGCACATCCTCTGCGAACACTCCTCGCCTCTCTTCCTTGTCCCCATGACAACTTTTACGTCCGCCGCGTCACCTACAGCACATTCGGAAGAGATCTTTGTGCTCGCGGTACTTCACATCCCCTCACCGCCCTTGCTCTGAGCCCCAAACCCTGCGGTGCTTAACTCGTGCCATTGTCTTCGCTGCCGCTCGGCGGGCTCGCAGCCCCCGCCAGCCTTTGGGCAGTTTTGGGTGGTCACAGGACCCTTCTCCAGGCTTTGCTTTCAGTGCCATCATCCCAAAGCTCTGGGTGCTCACCTTCAAACTCAGGACCACGGGTGCATCTTCCGAGGTTCCTTTGTAAGGGCAGCAGCTGAGGACCGAGGGGCAAATTCTGCACCGAAGCACCAACAGCTGCTGGTGCACTGTGTGTGGTGACCTGGTGATCCCCAGCCCGAGGTCCACCAGGTGCTGTCACCCTGCAACACCCAGCCTAGAGTGTTGGGGAAGAAGAGAACCCAGGGTTAACCTAGCCTTTTTCCTCCCATTCCTTCATCTTTTTCCATCAGAAGCATTGGTTGGTATCGCACTTTGAGTACCCTCCTGCAACGGGCTATCCATTTTCCCCCACTGAGATTAACCACCCCCACCCCCCAAGTCACCCAGACCTCACCTGAGGCCATCTTGGTGGTGGCCCTGCTGGTCCCCCCTTGTCCAGGCTATTTTTCCTCGTCCCTTGTCTATGCTTGCATCCACCCTGCTGGCCCTGGATGGCACCTGCTGCCTCCTCATGGCTTCCTCAAGATGACAGACACTGTCCTGGAGGGGTTTTTTTAGCTCATTATCAGCTCCTGAGCTGTCCCCTTCCTGAGGGTGGGGACAGAGGCTGGGACCTGTGTCCCTCCTGGAGAGCAGCCGCTTGCTGTGCTCCCAACAGCCCAAGCTCTTGCCTCCGATGTTCCTCTCCAACGCCACATCACGCAGCGAAGCGCTGACTGTGGTGCTGCGGATGTTACAGACCAGACCTTGTTCTCACAGAGGGAGAAGGGGCAGGAAGGAGAAAACCTGCCTGTGGGTTGACAGTGCCCAAGATTTCTCTTTGAAATGAGTTGTCACAGAGTGTCGACCCCTTGCTTGCCCCCCTGGGCTAATCTGAGCCTCCCTTGCCTCCGCAGGTGCCCTACTCCTGGTTGTGATGGCTCTGGTCACATAACAGGAAATTATGCATCGCATAGAAGGTAAGATCTCCCTTAAATTATTTTCTCTGAAGCCTCTTTCTGTGTTGCTTTTCTTTTTTTTTTTTTTTTTTTTTTTTTTTTTTTTTTTTTTTTTTTTTTTTTTTTTTTTTTTTTTTCTTCTTTCCCCTGCAGTGGGCAGAGTTGTAAAGTTCTGAATAAAACATTAATGTTACTGACAACTGAAGCCTATTTTCATCTCTTTAATCTGACTTCTCTTTTTTTTTCTGATGTTTCCAGCATCTGATTAGAAGCTCCTTTCAACAGAATAAAAGACAAAGGGTCAGATTTTAGCTGATGCAATGTTCCTGTTAATATTGCTACCTATTTATGATTTCTATTATCACTTTAGAACATTAATAGCAGAGATCTGAGCCTTCTGTTTCAACAATTCCATTAAATATTGCAGGCTGTTAGCAGATATCTTCTTATCTAGACACCATTAATTACTGTCCATCTCCCTCAATTTTTTATTATTTTTTTTCTTCTGACTTCTCCTCGTGGTGTGAAGCTGCAAAACGAGGGAGATCAAAAACACTGTGCCAAATTCAAGGGAAAGATGACTGAAGTGGGGGAATAGCAAAGGCAGGGATTCTGCCAGTGAGACAGGCCTTTCTTCTCTTTTTAACCACAGTCTGTCAGGCTGCCCTCGTGCCAAGAAAAGTGGGATCAAGATCACCCCGACAAAGGATGATAAAGAAGACCCAGAGCTGATGAAGTAAGTCTGAGGATAACTCCTGAGTAAAGCTTTTCATTCTTTGCCCTTTGCCTCACATAGATTTACGTGGGGGAGCAACATCCCTCCCACATCCCTCCTGGCTCACGCTGCTTTCAGCATCATCTACAAAGCTT